TGTACTTCTAAAAGTAATTTTATTGCACCATGTTCATTCACTCATGTGCTGCTGTAACATGAAACAAATGGCTGAATCGCCACCTCAGCATGCAGTCAAGTTCCACATAGTCTTGCAAATGACCTACTTATTTGATTCAGGTGTGTTGCATCAGGGATACGTGGAAAGGTTTCAGGACACCAGCCCTCCGGGACTGCAGTTTGACACGTGTGTCTTGAAGGCTTCAGTTCAACAACAAACTCTGATTGTCTTACATGAAACACTGAGAGTCTCTTCTGTCTCTGATGTCTTGGTGTCGTTTCCTTGGTTCACAGGATATCTGGCAGAGCAGCTGATCTTCTTTCCATCATGTGTGTCTGACAGAGTGATGTTCTGCTGGATTTTAGTTGTAAAGCTTCCATCTGTGTTTTGCTCTATTTTGTTGTGAGAGTCTTGTTGGAGATTCCAGGTGAGTTGAGGAGGGGAGTGTGGACAGGGAGTGAGAGCTGAGCAGGTTATAGTGACAGACTCCTTCTCCTTCAGATCACCTGAGATGGTGATATTTGGCCTCCAAGGAGAATCTGTGGTTTCACATAAAATCACACTGCTCTTTGCACCACTGATTAAAATCTGCAAACCTAATGCTTTCAAAACCTGTTCTAAATTCATACTTTGATTTATAAATGTAATCAAGTCTTGAACATAAAAGTGGAGCAGACGTTATAATAAGAAACAATTTTCTGAGTGTCATGCTGGGACAATCATTACAACTTTAATACAAGATTTGCTCAAGTGATATTGATTATATTCAAACAATAGATCAAAGACTAGATAGTCAGTACTAAATGTTAGTTTAATGTTAATGTGATACATAAACAAAAAATAAACAAACAAACATACTATTACCTGTGACTGTTATTTGAAGAGGATCACAAGCTGCTGTTGCCTTGAATGTTTCACTCTCTACTCTGAAGAAGTATTTGTTTGTGTATGTGGTGGTTAAATTAGTAAACAGAGTGGTGCAGTCTCTCTGACTCAGGTTTCCAGTAATACTTATTGGATAGATGCTAACTGCTCCACTACTGTTGAAGAGCACATTGTTTGCCTCGTTGGCAAATTCGGGATTATTTTTAATCCACACTCCAAAAATTTCACTTTTGTTGTTAAATTTCTGTTCTTCTTTGGGTCTGAACCTACATGGGATTTGCAAACAAGATCCACTCAGTGCTTCCAGCTGCTTTGGTGCAGTTATGAAAAGGTCTGCTTTATAGGAATAACCAGCCAAAGCACCTGTAAATACAATGTAATGATTAATCCATTCACATATCAGTATTAAACAAAATAACTACATGTTTTTCTACTCCCAAACAAAACTCTCATCTCTGATTAAACTATTTGCTACACTTTAGTTAGCGTGAATTTTTCTTTTGCATATTTCCATTTTAAATTAAACTTTTAGCTGATATTCCAGAGATGGTAGGAACATTTCCACCACCATCTGCTGTTTGGATGTAAGATGGAAATCTTCATAATCAGAGTTTCAAAAACTGTCTAGTGTAATGCTTGAAAGTGCCACCAAAGTTTTTTGTTCCTTAGGTGTTAACATTTTATACAAAAACATTTTAATTTAAAGTCAGTACAAAAAGTACAAAAAGTAGGTCTATGTTCACTCTGTTAGTAAATGAAGTTTACGTTGTAAATATAATGACAATAATGACTTTGAAATACTGAAATACTCACCTGAAACAAACAGGACAATCAGTAACATGCTGACTGTCTCCATGTTCACACACAGACTACTCTACTGCCTGGATTAAAAAAAGACAATTTCATGTACGGAGCTCTAACACTGTACTTAATATTTTTAAAGCTGTTTTATCATAAAAATGTTCCTTCTTCATTCATACAGTTCTTGTTTTTATTTTCTTGTAGGATTTTGGTTTGAAACATGGTGAAATATAAAAAATGTAACACAAAGCAGTTAATATAAAATTTGAACATCAGTAAATAAGATTACTTTATATGTGCCTGTCAGTGCAATGAAAGCAAAAGGTTATTGAATAAAAGCAATAAAATGTTTCCTTACCAAACAATCCCAAGTGTAGAATTATTGTTTTGCAGTTTTAGAAGAATTACAGTGGACCGTGTCGCCCAGCTGATGTTGGAAAGAAGGAAGTACAGAAAGTGAACTTGTTTAAGAAAGTGCAATAAAGTCAGTTTATCACAAAGCTGCTGGAGGCGTCACTCGATGCCTCTGACAAAAACTCTTCAGTTCTGCTTTTCTACAAGTAGGCTACTTACATTTACATGTATCTTTTAGCACATCTGCAGTGACTGCATCAGCACTAAAATTAATCACAAAGTGTGGGAAAGAGCACAGTAACACTACAATTTGGTTGTTGAGCAGCAACACCAGGCATTTGATTTCTGGCACGTAAGTTTAGTTGTGGAAAAATCTTATTTTATATCTGAGCTCAATAAATGTTAAGCCATTTTTAATTTAGCCATGTTGTAATGAGGCCACAAATGTAAATTTGGATTTGGGAAATATTAATTATTATGATACATGATAAATATAAACTATTAAATCCCCCCATCTTGTCACGACCTGCGGGGTCGGCAAGGCACTAATCAGCAATCTCTCTCCCCCTCCCCTGTTTTGCCGGGGCGGAACTCACGGCGGGTTCACGCCCTCGGCCCACGCCCTCATCAGACCAGCTGGTATATCAGAAGGAGGAGATCAGCTGTTCAATGCTGGATTGTTTTGAAGACTCCTATTCCCCGGACCCGTCCCCGTGTTTCCCCGTGTGGAGCGTGTAAGAGGTGGCTGGTCACTAGCGGAGAGAGGTTGGCGTGAGCGTGTCTGTGATCCCCTTGTTTTCCCTGGAGCCCTGGAACCCGTCCTCGCACATCTTGTATATAGCACTGTCCTTGCACTGCCTGTAAATACACTTGGTGAAGATTTTTGTGAATAAACTGTCTCTGTTACAACACACTCCGGAGTCCTGCGAGTGGATCCTCAGAGCAACCCGTGACACATCTAATGAACTAACATGTATCTATAGATATAGATACATGTATAGATAAACTAAATGACAAATACTTTCTAATTTTACTGGTCAAAATGCAAAACCCTAATCAGTCCATCTAGTAGATTATTTAATAAAACATTACGGTACAAATATTACAAATTGTTCATCTGAATTAATTTATTCCCAAAATCAGATCTCAGTGAATACACGTACTGGCTTGCTGTCGTAATGATCGTTTAAGTGGTCCAGTCTACTTAAGATCAAAGTGGGCCATATGTGGCCTGTGAGGTAAAATGAGTTTGACACACCTGATGTAGAGTTCTTCATGGAATTGGTTTCCATGTTCAAGGAGCTTCATGGGTTCATCACCAAGCACAATGCAAAGCATAGACTACAGTGGCATAAAGCACACCAGCACTGGACTCAGTGCAATGGAGACGTGTTCACTGGAGTGATGACCTTTGACGTTTACCAGGATTTGCTCATTCAGTGCTGTTCTGCTTGTCTTGTGGCCTGTTGATATCCAGCTTTAATAGTAGTTGTTAATGGAAGATCGCTGAGCTAACAGGTGCTTTAAAGTCAGGGTGGAAACTGGTCTTCTGCTCAATCACACGTCTCACATGTGTTACACGTCACGCATGTCATTGGTTCTGCTATTATAGTACAGATACAGTGACTTAAAATGGACAGCAGATCTGTGATGGGCCCTTAGCTGGGCCTTGGCTGGTCTTTGAACTTAATAACATCTCTTCTAGTGACATCAAAGAACAACTCAGTCTGAAACTAAGAACATGTATTCTTCAGTGTGATCTATGTGTACAGTACAGTTGTAAATTTTATAAAGTTTCAATTCACACATATCCATAAAAGACCCAAAGTTCTTCACAAAGAAAAAACAAAAACAGGTTATTGGGGTATTTTATAGATTTAGTGAAAATTAAAGCCTAAAATACTCTTTTCATAAACACTACAAAGAACACTTGTGACACTCACAGTGCAGCTCTGGTGAAGCCTACTTCTTACTTATTCAATTTGATTGATCGGCCAGGAAGCCAAGAACCCACGCATGCACTGGTTTATGACTAAAGAATTACGGCAGATCTTTCAAAAATTGCACGAACAATGGAGGACCTGCATCTAATTTATTATGAAATTGTAGCTCTACACATAGCCATTTGAGAAAGAAATACTTTGGTTCCTCTATTGCGTAGTGTTTTCTTGAGATTGCAGAATAAAATGAAAGAGAATTACAATAAAACATATGAACTAGATGCTCCCAATGTCAGAAAAAAGTAGTAATGGAACACCCAGAAGACTAAAACAATGTAAAAGTAGAGTCAGTCCTTCCTGATTATGTTCAGCAAAAGAGGAAGTCACTGTGACAGTCTAAATCTTCACCCTTAAATATTTGTTTTTTCTGTCACTCACTCAAAGCTTGTAAGTTTAACCTTTTAATGGAGTGAAGAAATTTCAGCACAACTAAACAGCAGGTACAGACAGAGTACACGCTGTTTAGGAAAGTGCAGTTTTCTTGCATGCAAAGTAAAATATGTTCTTATAAGAACATAAGAACAAGAAATTCAGTGGCTCTGTGACAGATTCACAGCCTCTGTCTCACGCTATCTCCCCCTATTCTAGCTTTGATAGGCTGCATTGCCCAGCTGGCTGCATTTATAAAATCAAACTTCCAGTGTTAAAGCTGAAGAGAAAAATTTCAATCTTTGTGTGTACATCAGCTTCAGTACTAACCAGTGTCACAGCAAAGCATTTACTGTGGTATTATGTGGTTGGTTTGATCTACCATATCTATGTTTTCCATCCTGCAGTGATTTGCTTAATGATATGCTTTTAGCTTCTAGTCAGTATTAAGTCATTACAATTTTATTTATACAGTGTCAAATCACAAAAAACAGTCGCCTCAAGATACTTTACATTGTAAGGTAGATCCTAAATTAATACATACAGAGAAAAAACCCCTATGAGCAAACACGTTTGAGAGAGTCTGATACATTTATTAACAAAGTGCTCAGTTTTTACATACTGAAATTATATTTCAAACAGCACCAGGCCATAAAAGGGTTAATCATCAGTAAATGTCTAAGCTGTAACTTAAGATCAGCAAACAATATGTGTTTCATTGCAATGCAAATGATCACACCAAAGCTTTGAAGGAACTACATTCAATTCACATGTACATACTCTGCAAACAAGTTAGGCATCAGTACTCGAGTAAAATTAGAAATGTAAAATTAGAAATGTAGCCAATTTCCTTTGGCTCTCGGAGGAGGCGGACGCACTTTTCTCCTCTCCCTTATCTTTCCTGCTAGTTCTTATGTCCTTGTCTAGTCTCGTGTCTTTTTTGTATTACTTTCCCTGGAACACTCTCTCACAGTCTGTGTCTAAAACCTAAAAGAGAATTATGGATTTGATCAACTGGTCTCTGAATGCTATTGAC